GGGGGTGAGAGGGGGCCCCTGATGGAGACTAGCAAGTAGCGACTATTAAGTGAAAGTCAGTAAAGGTATAGATGTATAGATACGAGATACGCGAGGCTGCAGACATTGCAGAGGTCTTTCTGTACCCTAGGTACCTTCGGAACCAATAATTGGTGATGAACTTTCTTCTCATTTTTATTGACCTCCAGTTTTAATGAATTGGAGATATTGGTTTCTCGGGGTGAGAGGGGATTTTGTGGGAGCAAGTGCAGAATTTATTGCGGAATTCTAATCGATTTCTATTTAAATTGATTTTTATTTTTATTTTTAATGATCTCCAATTTTAATTAATTGGAGATGTCGGTTGCTCCGGGGATGAATGAGGACTTTTAAAAACACCTGGCGAATTTACTAATTTATTAATTAGTTTATAACAATTATTATAAATTATTATTATTGTTATTTATTAATTATTATTATGTATTATTATGAATTATAATAATTATTCATTAATAATAATAGTTGAATAATTATTGTAAATTGGTTATTTCTTGTTTTACTCATTTTTTAAAATTCTATTGGAAATTTACGTAGATATTTTATGGAAATGTTTAGTGGAAATCGCTCTGTAGATAAACAATAGAATTTTATTTTTCTAGGCAACTTATTTTATTGGAATATTTTATGGTGAAATTGCTTGGCTCAATTTTTCTCAGTTTTTTTGTCCAATTTTTTTGATGAGGGGAGGAAAAATTGGGAGAGAAAAAATTAGAAAATTCATGTCGAGGGATTTCTGTACAAAAGGTTCAACACAAAAAGTTGTTTAGGAAGAGTTTACGGATTTTTTTCCAGATTTTATGTAAAAAATTTCATCAAAAAAACCTAGCTAATTCACTGGGGAAATATATTGGATGCCCCTTACAAAATTTCTTTGAAATTTCGTAAAAGTGTTTAGAGGAAAAATTTTTCTAAAGGAATTCAACAGAATTTGATTCTATTCAACTTCTTCTATTAAAATTTCTCGGATCAAATTTCCCAAGTTAATTTATTCAATTCTTCTGACAAAAGAAGAGAAATCAAGAGAAAAAATCCCACAAAATTCATGGAAATTCAAGGAATTTCTACAGAAAACACCTCAAAAGAAAAAGTTGTGTAAAAAAATAAAATTTTCCTGATTTTTCCTACAAAATAGTGTCCATCAGACATGTTCCTAAAAAACCGCGCAGTGAAGCTGCAAAAAAATTCATTAATTATTTATCAATAATGCTAAATTATTACTTATTAAATTCCTCACAAAAAAAAAAATCACCAGAAATTGTCGTTCAAACCGACTCCCTCCCAAGCCGTTTCCGCCAGTCTCCTCCGCCGTTCCCCTATCACCAATGAATTAACATATTACAATAAAAAAACAGCAATTCGTGTTTATGCCGTGTTTTCCCAAGTTACATCATTTAAGGAATGAAACTCAGAACACCGGAAAAGAGGAGGAAGCTCACGGTTACGCCTTGTTACGTTGCGCTCAGTGAGAAATTCCTGAAATTTCCTTTCTTTCTTACTTTTCATTTTCAACGAAACACCGTGAAATTGATATTTTCCAATAAAAAAAAAGAATCGCCATTTCTACCGCGTTAAGCCGACGGAGCTGGTGAAAATTTATCTCAAACCGGTCCCCCCCCCCCCCCCCCCCCCCCCCCCCCCCCCCACCCCCCCCCCCCC